TGGTTTAAACCAAAGATCGTATGGCGCCGCGAAGCCACGCGTGGTTCCCACCACGCCTTGCGCGATCTAACCCCTGGTATCATGATCTCCATTATCCGGTACGTAATTACGTAGGCGCCATTTGAGGAAGCGATACGCCAGCGCAATGCACATTAATGCACAGGCGCAGGCGCCGCGGCAGGCACGTGCACCTGGTGAGCCTGCGTCGAAGCATTATCGTAAACTGCGCAGGCGTATCGCTGGCTCAAATGGCGTCCATGGTAATTACACCTTTTGGGCAGAGTTATCCATCTAGCGTCTTCGACGCTATATGATCTTTGGTTTAAACTGAAGTGACGTCACACTTACGAACCGGATAATGGAGATCATGATACCAGGGGTTAGATCGCGCAAGGCGTGGTGGGAACCACGCGTGGCAAGATCGTACCCATGGGAACAAGGCTGTGGTGCAGTCTACTAATTCAATTCGCTCGTCGCCCAGTGCACAACACAAGGCGCTGGGAAGGGCTGATGGTCTTGCTCATGTTTAGTAAAGGAAGTATACGTCACGCGGGTTTACAGCTAAAAATGCGAACCGTGACAGCACTGAGGGGAAATTTTTACCAGGAGCGCTAGCTCGCTCAATTTGGCAATTATCAATTCGATTTGTTGTACCTCTGTCTTGGATACTGTCTGTTTATTGGCCCCGAACGATCACACGACAGGGTTACATTTCTGCATGTCACACTCACCGTGAGACATCTCATTCTACCGACGGTGCGTGCACGCACACGCTTACGTACGCGCGCGAAAAAAAAGAGCCTCGGTAAGTTTGAGAACAAACATTTGTGATCCTTTAGTCAGTTTTGCGTGGTACCCATTATACGTTTTGTGCATAGGCTACCAGTGAATTCGATCGATGATTGTGATCGTATAACAGACTCGTACGCGTCCCTGCAGTGTATAAATTAATGCGGGGACTGCTAACCAGACTATGGGTGCGTTCGATTATCTTCCCGGAATACACCAGTGTTACACGGAAGGGAAGCCTCGAAACGAGGGTAATCGAACGTGCGCTGCAGAATACTTGCTAAGGCATTCTGGGAAAAAGGTCAAGTCCCCGCCGGCCCCACGTTCCATCATGTACGTCCATGCACGAACAGTCCATCCGTGACGTCATTACACTCGGGCAGCCCCCAGAGACCCGCTCGCTAGTTGGGGTAGTGGTGGCTGACACCAGAGCAGGCACGAACATCACTTGAGGGCTAAACGCACGGTCTCGTGTGAGTTTGACTTACACGTGTAAGCTAATAGAACGCATCCTATATAAATGTACTCACTAGTCACCCGCACATCATCGTTTACACATTAACGAAAGGGAGGGGACAGTGCATTTGTAAACGATATCGTTTTCATATGTTAACTGCACAGTTTTACAGTAGGCCCGTCATCTTCTGAAATTGTTTAGCTTGTTTCTTTAGATACATGTTTTCTTTTTCTTTTTTTCGCTGGGCGACGAGCGAACTATTTCAAGTGAGAATTTCCGGCAAGCTCATTAGCATTAAAAGTGCCCCCCGTATCATTTGAAAAAGGAAATTGTTTGGCCCCCCCCCAAAAAAATGGTGGTATTGTGTAAATCTTAGCTGGATCAACTCCCTGGGTGTTTGGGCTTTCTTCTGAGAGCAGAAGAGCTAAAAGTAGCCAGTTGATACACGGTCGTAAGTACCCAGAAAGTTTGAGGTTGCCACTTAAAAAATGGCTGCAAGCAGACTTTGGACAAATCACCTTTTGATGAATGGGGGATGTTTTTTTGTGGGAAAAAATTAAAAATGTAATTGGTTAACCCTCAAAAATTGATAAGAAATGGAAAGATTAGGAACCAGACAATAATTTAATTTGTGTTCCAGAAACCTCAGATATGTTGATATCAGTGTTGTATTCGAGTCCGTCGTAAGTCCATCACAAGTCTATCACAAATCATTCAGTCTTAAGCCAATTCAAAAGCTATTCAAATGAGCTGTGACAAAAGCATTCGTTTGTTATTGTTCACCCTGTTCCTGGTGACTGGACTTGTGAAAGGACTTCAACTTTCAACCTTCAACTTTGGCGGTTTTTCTTTGATAAATTGACCGGACCATTTTGTTCAGTGCAATAATGTTTATGTCTGTGACAGTGAACTTTGCCCATGGTTTGAGAATGGCGTCGTCCGTGAAATTGCGCTCCGGTGCCCGCTGTCCTCGGTCTATTCCACAGACATTATGAAAACATAGACAGGTAGCTCCTATTCAAAACAACGAAGGGGTACCGTAGCCGAGATGGCACGCGACTAAATCCAAAAGTATTGGTAAATTCACCCCTCGGTGTAGGGAATTTACACACAGTTGAAGAATTCCAGCCGTAAAATTCTATGAAGCTATTTTCCTATTGTGAAAAACAATCCTTTGTTTACTTAATCTGGCCCATGCAGATTCAAAACAATGTGGTTGCAACATTTGAAGACAAGAGATAACAGTACCAAAGAGCATAATGTAAACAAATACATGCAGTCTAAGTGCGTCACGCGCAGTTCGCACTGAACGCGCAGCAATCCATCTTTTTTCCATCCGCCTTTTAAAATCACGTGTATATGCGCAAGACTGCTGGTGGTCTATGCGTTTATACAGAGTGTCTACATAAAAAGTATACTGAGATAAAAATTACTGTAATGGCAAAACTACTTTAATATGGGAAAGAGAAATATATCTCTAAAAGGGCAGAATGTCTTCTTTGCAATGGTGTAGGCCTACAACTCGGGATAAAGGAAAAGTGATTCGCACGCACATTTCAAAAACTTCACACTCGCACCGTCTTAAGGCGGCTTTCCACGTGTACTTTTTTTCGGTGCGTTGCGTATACGATGCGTTCATGCGTTTCACTTACACGGACACAAAAATCGAAGCCATTCACATAGCACACGTGTGCGTTACGTTCGGCCGTCAAATCGCTCCGAGATCGATGTTCACGGATGCGCAACACGTGTTGGGAGTACAACCGTGATTTTGAAAAGCGTCGGCAAGCAGTGGGCAAAACAATGGATGGCAGTGTGTTAAGTTCGAATTGCGCGTGACGCACTGGGAATACATGTATTTATGTGCTCTCAAAATACGTTCCCTTTTTACTCTTTGGTACTGCTATGTCTCCTTTTCAAGTATTGCAACCGCATTGTTTCAAATGTGCATAGGCCAGATTAAGTAAATAGAAGATTTTTTTCACAATCGAAAAATGGCTCCATAGAACTTTATGGCTGGAATTCATAGGGCGCAGGTTTACTTGCGTTTGACGCAGAGTGCGCTGAGTAAGCGCAGCGAATTTATTCTGGAGTCTTTGTGTGCACGCCAAACGCGTGCCAGGACCCTATCCGGTTCGTAAGTGACTTCGTCACAAAAGCGGACGCGCCACGATTTGCAGGCTCCCATTGGACAATCGCTGAGGTTGCACGTTCTGGTTCTATGGTTCCATGTGAATGAATATCAAATAATGTATTCCCCGAGTTTTCCATAGGTTTGTGCACAAACATGGATGCGCCCAGCAGGCATCACATTGTACATGAGTCAGTACTCTATCTTTTATATATATGACTCTATGATTTGCCCACGGTTTTGATTTTAGTCGTGCACCGCATTGATCACGAAATGTTTATGTAGTTTTCAATGTGATCTGGCGGCTGAGCGTTTATGATGTGTCTGTGGGACGTACGTCCTCATTTTCGGCACGTATGTACAATCACCTGATTATCGCTTCCAATCAAAAACAAAACTGCCTCATCAACTCAGATTGCTAAAAGATAAGCACTTGCTCTCATCAAAGGTGTAAGTCTCAAGTGATTTATGATTCTTCGAAAAAGGAGGGCGACGTCATTAAATGCACGAGCGCCCAAGTTGGCAGCCTTGGACCATGCACAAAGTTAGCTTCAGGGGCTGAATTCTGTGCCTTTATTGTATTGGTAAAAAAGTTACGGATACACTGGAATCGGATATCAACCGAAGCCACTCTCTTGTTTTGTGAATTCCTTTGCGTGTGTCCGCGCACTGTCAAGGCCATGGAAGGTCTACACTTCAATTCAGCGTCGCTGGCGAGTCGTTTCGGTTAGATTGATTGGGGAGAAAGAACCGCCATTGGTTGGAACATGGTTGGAATTGTTGGCAACAAGAATGTTGTTGCCTTTAAAGGAGAGAGTAGGAAACAGACTTTTCTTTCCAATGGGAGAGATTCAAATGTTAGAGGATTTGCGAAGGAAAGGCTCTGTAGCGATAGAATAGAGAAAGCCAGAGAGCAGGCTCACTTGACGGATGCCCTTCCACAGGAAATTTATGTAAGATATGAAAGTCTGCCCCAAATCTGTGGGTCTCATCGCGTATGCCACAGTCAACCAGTGGGTCAAAGATCTTAAAGGCTTTGTTCCGGCCAAGGTTGGCCACGAGGCAAATCATTGAAATTACAGTAATTTTGTAATGACGCAAAAAGGTTGTGGAGAATAGTCTGCCCAAGAACACATTAACTTAATTTGGTCCAGGTTGACTACGTAACTGCACGTATAATTTCTTAATGGTTCTCAAGCAAGGATTTTATGTAAAGTCGGTGTTCAAAGGTGAGACAGGACGGCTGCAGTTGGCGAAATCGGAAAGGTCGCCCCTTTGGGAGAACGAGAGTGATGACACGGATGGAATGGGTAATTCCAGAAATTGTGGGTCAAAAGTGTGACATTTTTGTGTCCCGGTTACATCTGACCTTTGTTATTTGACATGGAAATATCCTCGGAATTGATTTCAAACTATTTCTATTTCTTTGGCAGGTAATTTGCAATAATTCACCACTCTTTGAAATTAGAAAATGTGTTCTAAACTGACAAATTCATATGTCAGATGTGACAGGGACACCAAAAAAAAAAAATCCCAAATTTCTAGAATTACCCGAATGCAAATTTCCAGGGATACGGGCACAGGAGAGAACGGAATAAATGTCATCTTTCAACAGAAACCCGAAAGGTTAAAGAAATGATGCCATCCAGACGGCGTTTTATTCCGGCCAAGTTGTTTGACCGCTGCATCACGTACTTCGAAACTCGGAGGTACAGGTCACCTTCGTCAGTCTGAGGTTAACTATAAAAACGACAGAATTCGCAGACGACCAGGTATCAACCTCATTGGAGACGGGTCCAGACGACCTCACCCCTAGCTTCATTACAAACTTTAATTGTTTAATTCATCTCCCTTCTTTAAGAAACGTCAAATTCCGTCATTAAAATCTGGCAATGACACAAAGTTTTCAATTGCATAATTGATTCTGGTAAGAGTATCGCTTCTTGGTTCAACTATTTTCGAGACATTGACTGAGGATTCATCTGGATGTTACCGAAATCCCGCCAGGCACAGGTGTCAGGGAAATGTGCTGTTCAGCCCTCCAGCCACTCCAAATATCAACAATCATATCCCTAGAGACCTTTGTCAAATATGTCTTATCTGAAAGCACTATCTCACCGGTACAAGCTACATTCAATGCAAGTGACATTGCCCTACGATCTTCTGCATTAATAATTCAACAGAGGAGCTGACTATCCCCCGCTGTCAACGCCAGACTCTCACAGAGAAAATAATGGCCCTGTTCAGAACGGGGCTGAAATATGGTATGACCTTATCGAGACCTTGTTGAATTGAGACTTTGTTCTATAATGAAATTATTTTTAAAAAACCATTCAAAATTGATCTTTTCCAATAGGAAAGAACTTGAAACTGAAAAGGAAAATACCCTCTGGGGTTCAAACCAAACACCCACAAAAATAATCACTAAATGCACTACACAAGCCAGCTCGTCTGGACCAATTTTTTCCCCTTCTTCGAAGCCCACCACCTTGCATGACGACGCTGAAGCTGTTATGTAACTCAGGAAATACCACAGTATATTTTGGCCCAGTTCAGGCTAGGAACAATTCTCTATGAAAGACTCACTTGTCAATAGCGGTGGGTAGTCATATTGGATGCTTCAAATTGCACTCACATCTTTTCCACAAAAAAAGTATAAATGAAACTAGCCCTTTAATTAGAACATTTCATTTGCAAGAAACCATGCAAAGATTCCTGCTGGAAAAAAAGGAGATTTTTTTACATTTGTTTACTATTACAAAGCAAGAAGACAAAACAAAACATAGTTAATATGCATGATAGTCTAGTTTACAAGTTGGGATTGTTACATTTCATCACATGAGTCTCTCATCTCTTTTCAAATTATACATCAATTTCGTTTCTGCAACAAAAATTTTTGGTGAAAGTAAAAGTAAGAATTTCATTTAATCGATGAAAGATATCAAGTTATTTGGTAAAACAGAATTTACGGACAATACACTTAAAAGTGTCACATTTCGGCTTACTCCTTGCCTTTCCCAGTTAATTTTGCACTTCTGTTATTTAAAATGGCTTAAAGGAAAGTCAATTTCATTAAAGAGGGGTCACTCGCCCCAAATGTTGACTCCAATTTCAAAATAACACCACTAGATTTCAGTTTTAGAGCACTGTAATGGATTAAAAAATTCTTATTCATCCTGTAAATCATCCATTTCGAATCGGTAAATGAACGACAAAAACAAATTTGCTTTTCAAATTCAACGCCATTCCTGGATTGAGACGAAAATGACAATAAAAAGGAAGAGTAAGAATACTTTTTTGTAACTTACAATGCTCTGAAAGTGAAATCTAGTGGTGTTATTTGGAAATCGAAATCAACATTTGGGACGACCCCTCTTTGACCCAATCAAACTTTCTTGTATGCAATTTTAAACGAAAGAAGTGCTAAATTAACTGGGAAAACTGATATCTGATTCCATGGGCGTGACTAAACTGATGGAAAGAATGCAGTGTGCATGTTGTCATCAAATAGCAAAAATATGTGACCGTTTTGTCATAATTGTCTTTTTTCAAATAAAGGAGCTATAATACTTTCAAAACATGGGTAAACAATTCAGATTACACTGCCATAAATCATCAATAGACCTCTCCCCCACCCCCAAAGAAAATAACGGTACAGGGTGAGCTTTAGAATGTGAGAAGTAAACAACAATCAGGTTTACAATGCTCTGGATTGATTGGGCCTGCTCGGCTAGTCTTATCTGGTTAACTGGTGACATTAAACTCACGAGACACACCATCATATGGTTTGATCCCTTCAATGATGTGTTTTGCATTGCCGTAAACATGGAAGCGGTAGGTACCAGTAGGCATTGTGGGAGGAATATGCCACCAAGTCGTTACCTCACTGAAACCAAGTATCTCATCAGTACGCTTCCAGTAGAATCTGAATGAAAAACAAGATTGGACTGGTTGAAGTAACACCGTCCATAACTGGTTTCTAAACAGATGTTCCCATCTGAAGTCATCCTTCTGAGCAATGAATCAAAAGATCGTACTTGGAACAAAAGACCTGCTGCTGGGAATTGCCATCATTTTTCGGCTTGCATTTTTCGAAGGTAATCCGTCACTATTTTTAAACAGTATACCACTGTTTTGGGCATAGCACGCCAACAGATTAGCACAGTGGACATAAGTGTTCCAGGGCCCCATTGATGAGTGACACAGCACCACTGCACGCTAATCCGGCCGTGTTTGAAAGGAC